GAGAGTGAACTGAATGTAGTGCAGAATAATATAAATGATAGCTCTTCTTACATCAAAATCCTTATACTTTGAACAGATACTTTATCAAGTGGCTGAGCAAACACAGCAGCTTTTGAAGTATTTGAAGAGCCATTGAGTTTGAGAGTCTTCATTCCTTCACTGTCTTTAATCTTATTAGTACAGGACTCCTTCAGATCATGGCTCTCCCTTGATGCAAATTTAAGGACACAGATTATAAAATAATGCTTAGAACTCTTATCTACTTCAACCTGTTGATAGAGATATCAAACACTTCGGAAGCTCTTGAATTTAAAATAAGAAATCATAATAATCCAAAATGATACCTAAATTGATAGGAACCTATATAATCTGTTTAAAAGAGAGAGAAGAGAGGGGGAAGAAAGGAGGAGGATAGAGAAAGGAGAAAGAGAAATCTCTATTAAAATATCTTTTCTTACTAAATTGTTTTCAAAGGGAGCAAGGAAAATCTTTTTATTCAATGCTTTATATCTGTCAATTATATGATCAGATGAATGAAATGAATAATAATTCTAAAATACATGTATGCCTCCACCAACCCAACTCCAACAAGGAATGTGAGGAGCAACAATATTTTCAACTTAGTTATAATAATAATTTAACTGGATATCACATCATTTAGTTTTCTTCTTTTTCTTCTGATGTGATTGGGCTCATTTTAGCCCATTTATGCTTTGACAACTTCATAACTAAACAAGAAATGCTAATGAAAATACTACCTGATTCTTGGTATGAAAGAAGTAGCCACTTGTAAAAAGTGTGGTAGGCAGAGCCACATGTGGCCTGCGTGAGCCTGAGGCTGTACCACTTACTGTGGCGGGTTGTCAGCCCTGTGGTGCAGCAGTTCTCTCCTCCTTGTGATTCCCAAACTGAGTCTCAGCTTTGTTACTTTTCAAGCTGTGGCATGCATGTCTCAAATATTGATCTGTTCACAGGGCTCAGTATTGCCATTAGAATTTAGCCGTACTTATCCTTGGATTGTTGTTGGACTTCTCATTGTCATCCTTATTCTTCTTACTTTGCTTCTGATTTCTTGAGTTTTCTTGGTTGTTGCCACTTCCTTTCTCACGTGCTTTTAATATTATCATATTTAACAAAATAAATATGAAGTCTAGTTCAGCATTGAGAGATTTTATATGTACAGACTGCCACCCTACCTCTTTCTCATACTGTTCTTACTGCATATCCCTTTTTTCTCTATGTATAAATATGCATATACATGCTGATCCACCCATGTAGGCTGTAAATTGTGTGTAGGATAAGAAGATATGGGGTTGCTTTTGTATCCCACAGAGTACCTTGCATATTGTATGTGCTCAGGAAGTGAATAGGAAAGATCATTATGCCATCTCGTTCAATATAAACATTAACATGAACACTGACCCTTCTTGACGAGCCAGTTGTTATCCTTGATATCAATTTCAAACATTTATTGAGAAACTCTTGCAGGAAGGCCGGCTAGGCAGAAACGGTAGTTTCTGACAATGACAGCCTATTGAGGGTCCTGCTAAATTCATTGAATATGCTATGAGATTTGGAAACTATCCTAAGGGGTTAGTTTACAATAAGTGTAAGTTGTCTCTGGATTCTGTGCTTAGGGATATATTCTTCAGGAGAAGGACGATGTAGGTATTTTGATGCTGCATTGATATGGCCTGTGTGTCTGTAGGTATAGGTGTAGACACAAGCACGCACACACACACAATGGAGACACACAGACAGACACAGATGGACAGACAGAGACAGACAAAAAGACAAGAACACAAAATAGTCAATTTTTCTTATAGTTCCTTAAAATGTTTGCTCTAAGCCTAAGCAGTACTCTTTAAAAGATACAGTTTCTTGGTAACTTGTATAATATGTAGCTCAAATATCCAACTGCAAAGCTTTTTCTTGGCCATTATCTATAATCTGGTGTTTTACTTTATAGAAGTTTCTGAATGTAAGGTTTTCATTTTCTAAAGCAAGCTATTGTGTTCGGTAGATAGCATGGTCACAGAGATGGGTAATTTCAAAAGTGGACATGGCAGAATCTTTTCTTTAAATTATAGATTAGCGAAACTATGTCTAACCTGATGTTTTGAAACTTTCTTTGTGAATTCTATAAGCTTTTCCTTTATGGCTACAAATGATATATATTAAGTAAGTAAATTCTAACTATTTTCCATTTGATGACCCCTTTCAGATTGTTAAAGAAATAGATCATTTTATGGCAATTGTTGTTTCAATGTCCTTTGATTGAGAAAATATATAGGCAAAAATTTACTATTGAAGTGTGTGACTCATCATTTTCATGAAAAAGTACATTTTTCAAAATATAGTATCAAATGTGTGTTAGCATAATTTAATGTTGGATAATGTGTAATGGATATATAAATTCCCTATCTCTTACAATAACATAACTATGTACTCAATAAAAACCTGATAACTAATAATCAGTTATTAAATGATAGGTTGAAAACTGCTGCTTTTTATATTTACATAGTACACAGCACATGTAGCCCTTACTATATAGTTCTTCTACTTATGTGAACTCTGTAAGGTGGGTAGTAATTTTCCTTTACATATAAGGAAACAAGTACCCAGAAGTGAAAAATCATTTATGTATCCTTGATGCTATCCCTAATTTGGGTGTATTTGTGAGGTGAATTTGTAGACGTATTTTGAATGTGAGATAGAGTGCTCATGGAGACTTAGAATTATAATTTAACTTGAGTTTAGTGGTGAAGAATATTGCTTTTATTTTACCAGCACAATTTATTGTATAGATATATATTTTATA